GCTGGCTCTCCCTCCAGCATCACTTTTCTCTTTTGCTGTCTATATTTCCATTCTGCACTCTCTCCACTATGAAACATTTTCTTTTTTGTATTTTTTAGTAAGGGTCTACAGGGTCTCACTACATAGATGGGACTCAGTGATCTGCCTGTGTTCAGCCTCCCAAGAGCTGGGATTTCAGGGCTGCGCCACCACGCCCACTCTCAATCCCTGTCTCAGCGCACCCGGGGGCGGGGCCCGCACAGGAAGCTGAGGAGCAAACCTCTGACCTCTGCGTCTGCCTAAGCAGGCACTTTACTCCACTGAGCTATTTGACTGGCCCTTGAAACACTTTTTTGAGTAACTTCTATCTACTGATACGGGTTTTGTTTCGTTTTGTGGAACCGGGGATTGAACTCAAGGGCCTTGCGCTTGCCAGGCAAGCGCTTATTCTACTGAGCCATCTCCCCAGACCTCCTCAGACAAATTTATTTGTGCAGACTTCTCCAACTTCGTAGCTTGGTGGAGGTAACTGGAGAAAGGTTGGGTTTTTTACCCCCCCTGGGGGAAGGTAGCAAAACTGTAACTCACAATCTTTCTTTTTTTTGGGGGGGGGGCGTGGTATCAGGGATTGAATTCAGGACCTTACACTTGCCAAGCAGGTGCTCTTTCTTGTGGCCGGCAAAAGGAGACAGCCTGCTGACGTGGCTGAGGCATGGGGAGAGGGAGGTAAGCACCAGTCTGCACCTGAAATAAGGGTCCGTGTGCTCCTGCTGATCCTGGATTACGCTTTGTCCCAAAGTGAGAAATTAGAGAGAAAAAAGAGAATGGTTGCAAGTTGGTGGATGCACGAGCAACTGGGACTGGCAGATGAAGGGAGGCGGGGCAGAAAGAGGGAGGAGGTGAGAGAAGCTCCCCAGGGGTAGGGGGCTGATCTGACTGAGAGGAGGCGGGGCAGCTTGTGGGAAGGGGGGGGCATGTCTTTACAGCGGATGAAGGGAATTTTGGCCATGATAACAGGGTTTTATTTGTTGTTGTTCTTGTTTTTGTGGAACCGGGGATCGAACTCAGGCCTTTCACTTGCCAGGGAAGTGCTTATTCTACTGAGCCATCTCCCCGGCCCCAATAACAGGGATTTCAAGGGGTTAAAAGTTTTCCTCTTAGGCCATTGGCTGACACTGTCGAGTTCATATTGTGACCAAGCTGTCTCGCAGTAAACGGTTAACTTTTCTGGTTTTATACTTTTTTGCTTTGAGGACCTTGCGGAGGCCAAGGGAGCCAAGACTGCAGAGGAGGCACCCCAGTGGGGTGTCTTTTGCAGGTTGGGAGTGAATATTTCCTAGAGCGACTGAATTGGAGCTGAGCCAAGGGCTCCACACTCTAGCACATGTACTTGCTCGAGTGCGGATTATGAGAACCTAACTGCTATTGCCAGAAGCTAGGGAGGATCTGTACCCTGCGGCTTGCAGGATGCGAGGGCACTATTCCTGCTCAAGGAATGTGAGGGCGACTGCCCCGCACTGGATTTCTGACGTGGGAGACAGAGAGGGAAGTGAGGGCAACAACCCTCACTTCCTGACTAAGGAACAACGCGAAGGCAGCTTGCCCTGTAATCTGAGGCTGGAAACCCCGGGGCTCAGCTCACCTGACTGTAGCAGGCAGATCTGTGTTGGACGCAGGCTGGCAACAGCAAAGAGGCAGATCCCAGAGGACACGAGCTCAGCTGATAAGCAGGGGGCTCAGCACTGGGATGTTTTGACCCAGGAGCCACACACATTACCTATCCAAATCATGGCACCAAAATGTTAGGTTATTCAGAGGCACAGTAAAGAGATAGGAAAGATAAAAGAAGCCTTTATAACTCTAAAGACAGAGAGAGGGGCCAGGGATATACCTCAGTGGCACAGCAGCTACCTAGCAAGTGCAAGGTTGTGAGTTCGATTCCTGGCACCCCTCCCCTGAAAAATTAAAAAAAAATTATTATAAAGACAGGGAGAGGCTCAAGGGCAGATGGACAGATCCTCTCAGTTGAGACAAAGAGATGAGACTTTATGGAATATGGCTAGGGGTGGCATTGGAGGGGCGGGTTCAGTGACATCTGAGGAGCTCACTGGGGTCTCTCCTGTGTGCACTGGAAAGGTGAGAGGAAATCCTATCCTGGACTGGGTTGGGGAAGAAGGGAGACGTGGTCATCGAGAAGATAAGCTGTTGTTTTAAGGGCTTCAGCCATTTTATATGGCCACCATAATAAAAGAGCAATTCATACTAGGGCTAGAACCTATCACTGGGATTACAGGCATGTGTCGCCATGACCGGCTCCTGAGTACAAGGATTAAAAATGTGCACTACTAGGCCGGCAAGAGAGCTCAATGGACTAAGTGCCTGCTTAGACAAGCACAGGGACTGGGGTTTGATCCCCAGAACTACATGTCACACTGGCCCCGCTCCTGGGTGCTCTGAGCTGGCCACAGAGACCAGGCGTGGTGGCACACACCTGTAAGCCCAGCACTTGGGAGGCCGAAACCAGGAGGATCACCACGAGTCCGAGCTGTGTAGTGAGACCCTATACCAAATACATTTAAAAAAGTTAAAGATTGTACAGTACCATGCCTGACATAATACAATGCTGACTTAGTTACCAGAACATCAATAATAAACCCTAATACTGGGTTTTGGTGTTTTTTTTTTTTTTTGCCAGGGAAGTGCTTATTCTACTGAGCCATCTCCCCGGCCCCAGAGCCATCTTCCCAGCCCCTAAACTCTAGTACTGGATGAAGCAAGTCCTCCCATGTTGTCTTTGTTGATGTTTTTTAGCCAAGATCATAGTACTCACTATGTAGCCCTGGCTAGCCTTGGACTTGCAAGGATCCTCCTGCCTCAGCCTCCTTGTTACTGGGATGGCAGTGTGCCACCACTTCTGGTTGAGTATTTTATCAAGTATTTATCTTGCATCAATTGAAATAATCACATGCTTTTTCTCCTTTGATCAGTTAACAACCAAAGGCACAGATTTTGCAGTCTCCAGGGAAGCCATGCTTGGTTATAAGACACTACATTTTTCATACATTGCTCATGGGGGACTGGGCTTAGGAACACTGTTTAGAACCTTCCCTCCAGGCTCCTGTATGAAACTGATCCCCAGCCCCATCCTGTTCTTGAGGGCTTTGGCCATCATTACTCTGGTCTTGCAGATGTGAAGGAGACCAAGTTATAGTGGGAGGGAAGCGAGAAGGGCAGGGATGCAGACCAGAAGGTGGCTCAGGGTGAGCTGCGGCCTTGTATCTCCTTCTGTCCTTTCCCAGAATTTGGACGGTGAGCCTGCTGCCTCAGATTCCAGTATCTTTTTCTCTATCTCCCTTTCAGCACGCTTTTTTCTTTTTTTTTCTTTTTGTTTTGTATTTTAGTACAGGGTCTCACTACATAGATCAGAGTCGTAGTGCTCCTCCTGTTTTCAGCTTCCCAAGCTCTGGGATCACAGGTGCACGCACCAAGCCGTCTCGTTTGCCTCTCAGCGTGTCCCACAGACGGGGCCAGCACAGCAGGCAGGAGATCGAATCCTGCCCAAGCAGGAACTTTAGTCCGCTGAGCTCTCTGGCAGGCCTGCTCAGCTTGCTTGCTTGCTTGCTTTCGTTCTTTCTTTCTTTCTTTTTCTTTCCTTCCTTCCTTCCTTCCTTCCTTTTCTTTCTTTCTTCTTTCTTCTTTCTTTCTTTCTTGCGTTATTGATTCACCTTTGTACTTTTCGGTGGTGGGGAGCAGGTAAAGGGCCTCGCACGTGCCGCGCTGCCCTCACTTAACTCCTCCCTGCTACCTTCTTTAGCTTGGGCCATGTTCCTGACTTTGCTTTCATAGACAGAGCCTTACTGTACAGTCCAGGTTAGTGTTAAGCTCACTCTGCACCCAGGCTGGCCTCATGCAGTGACTCTGCCTTTTTCCACTTTCTTCTGTCCCAACGTAAGTTCTAAGATTACAGATTGGTTTCTGGATCCTTCCTTCACTACGTTCTGCTAGGACTGTGGTAGTATTTTCATTCCCTCTCAAGACTAAATATTTAATTTCATTGGGTGTGGTGGTTCACGCACCTCCCAGTACTTGGGAGGCTGTGGCAGGAGGGTCGCCGGAGCCTGAAGTCAGCCTGAGCTACGTAGTGAATTCAACTTCGGGGTCAGCCTGAGCTACAAAGAAACACTGTCTCACTGCCCCCCCCAAATTAAACATACTTAATTTCATCAAGTATGATTTCTTGGCTGGGGAGATAGCTTGGCAGTCTAAGTGCATGCCTGACAAGTGCAAGGTCCCGAGGCTGACCCCAGGTTCCCCAGAGTGCCACGCTGGCCCTAAACCCAGACGTGGTGGAGCAGGCTGTAATCCCAGCGCTGGGGAACTGAAACAGGAGGATCACTTTAGTCCAAACTGCACGGCGAGATCCTGTACCCAAAGAATAAAATTTTTTTTAAAGCGTGACTCCTTCTTCCTATGGATTATTTGGAAGTGAGCATGCGCCAGGCCTGGTGGTACATGCCTATAATCCTAGCTACTCAGGAGGCTGAAGCAGGACAGCGCATTTGAGGGTAGCCTGAACAACTTCATTAAGACAGTCTCAAAATAAATGCGAAAGGACTGAGGCTGCAGCTCAACACTCTGGGGTCAACCCCCAGCACCGCACACACATTTGTGCAGATGTGTTGCCAATGGCCTGAGCGCTATCCCCTGAAGAGGCTGTTTAGGAACTCGGGGCTTGGCTGGCCTCCAAGAATTTAGATGCTCACACTTTGGGGGTTGTTTTGTCTTTCCAGTTCTGAATATTGAATTCAGGCCTTTCACACTTGATGCACAAAGATCTTGATGTCCCCAGGACTAGTGAGTCCTGCCTCTGCTTGGGTTTTTGTTTTCTTGAGACAGGAGTTTGCTATGTAGCCGCCAACTCTCAGGGACATTGCGGCCTCAGCCTAGCAAGTGCTGGGACACGTGCTGCCTTCTGGCCCAGATCTCCCCACCCGTCCCCATTCCTACAGAGAGGCCAGATGTACAACAGCACAATGCAAAGGCTTTATTATTTAAAAAATGCAGAGGGGTTGGAGGTCAGAGGCCCTGAACAGCACAGACCAAGGTTCGCTGAGGCAGGCTTCAACTTCTCTTGCTGCCTGTTGGCCACCCTGGCCTGGGCCAGGCCCCACAGCAGGGAACATGAGCTTTAGAAGGAAGACATGGGGGCTGGGTGTGGTAGTGCATGCCTGGCAACCCAGCACTCAGGAGGCTGAGGCAGGAGGATCACTGCAAATTCCAGACCAGCCTGGGCTACAGAGGGAGTTCATCCTGGCCTGGACTACACATTAAGACTCTCTCTCAAAAAACAGAAAGAAAGCCACGGCAACAGCCAGCCCTGAGTAGCTTCTGGACTGGCAAGGGTGCGCAGGCAGAGCCAGGATAGGTGGCCTCAAGGACCACTTGTCTCCACCCAGCTGGGCACTGACATGCCCACTCTACCCCTCCCAATGCCAGCCCAGGAGTGGCCCTGCCTTCGCCCCCTCTTGCTTCATGGCCCAGAGCCCAACAGCAGAGCCCTTCTTTGGGCCGGAGCACCAGCTGGAAGCAGGCACCGGGCAGGGTCCGTGCCCACTTAGCACCACTGGGAGCCCAGTGAGCTATCCCAGGATGGAAAGGTCACGGCCTGGTGGCTGGGCTGGGGCCTAGCTCCCCGGCTGCAGGTGGCTATGCAGCTGCTCGGCCTGGCTCTTGAGGCGCTGGAACTCCTCCTGGATGAAGTCCGTCAGGGCCTTGCGCATCTCCACCTGGGGGCAAGCACCTGGTTGGCCTGGGCATGGACCAGGACCAGGCGCACCCCGGGAGAGGCAGGGCCAGAGGAAACTCACAGCTGACTTGTTCTCCAGCCTGAGCCGCTCAAGCACTGGCAGGGCACTGAAGGGCCTCCCAATGAGCACAGTGATCTTCTATGGAAGGAGGCAGCTGCTGGATGACACAGCAGGGGAGCCCCACTGTCCCTGCCCCAGCCACCCTGGAGCCAGAGCCGAGCCCTCCCTCCCAGTCCCTCTGAGTGCTGTGTGTGCATGCACTGATTTCCCACTTTTTTTTTTTTTTTTTTTTTTGCAGAACCGGGTATTAAAGTCAGGCCCTTGCGCTTGCCAGGGAAGCGCTTATTCCACTGAGCCATCTCCCTGGCCTGCTGATTTCCCTCTTTAAAACAAGTAGCTGGGGCCAGGCGTGGTGGCACCTGCCTGCCACCCCAGTACTCGGGAGGCTGAGGCAGAAGGATCCTGGGAGTTCGAGAGCAGCCTGGGTTGCATAGTGAGACCCTGTCTCAATAAACTAAATAAATTAAAATATGAGCAGCAGCTGGCTCACTGTAGTCCTGGGACCCATCCTAGATGAGCTGCCCCTTCCTGACCCTGATGCCTATTCCTGCCCCACATTCCAAAGGCTCTGGGGTTAGGTCTCCACCCTGGTCCTCTGTAGAACAGACCAGGATGCATGTGGTACGCAGATAGGCAGAGGGCAGCTGAATGGATGTAAGGTGCCGCAGGCCACCCACCTGTCCAAAGCGAGGGAAATACGGCGGGCTGTTAGGGAGGACATCGTTCATTCCTGTAGCACAGGACACAGAAGGCTGTGATTGCCTACGCTGCCCAGAGGAACACCCATGGCCCACCCACGGAGCCCCCGGGCTCACCAATGTGCCACAGTGGCAGGATGACAGGGTTCAGGTGACACTCAGCAATCAGGCGCCCGATTCCTGCCAGGGGAGCGGCAAAGAGGCTGCCACAGTCTGTGCCCCGCTGCCCTGCCCCATTCCAGCCAATGCCACCCCTCCAGCCCCCACTCAGACCCACTTGTTGGGTGGCCCTAGGGTCACTGCCTGGCCCCCAGCCCACTTCCCACACATCCAGTCAAGGGCGGCTGCCAGGGCTCACCCCACTTGAAGCGCAGGAACTCGGAGCTCATGTTCACCTTCCCTGCGAAGGAAGTACAGTGAGGCTGGGCCTAGGGCCGCCTCTGCCTGACCCCATAGCAGTACCTACCTTCTGGGAAGATATGCACCCAGTCCCCGTGGTTAAGCTTCTCCAGGATGAAATCCATGCCCCGCTGGTAGACACCATCTCCTGCAGAGAAGGGCCTGTCCCCATCAGTCTCTACCCTGCACACCCTTTACACAGACACTACATCCAAACTGGGCCAGAGGCAGCACCTTGGGGACTCCTCACACCCACTGCACCATGCGCAAACACCCTTCAAGGGCTGGAGAGATGGCTCAGTGGTCTAAAGCACCTACTTGGAACAAGCTTGGCAAGGCACAGGGACCGCGGTTCAATCCCCCAGCACCACATGCCAGCCAGCGCCGCCCCCTGGTGGGCTGAGCTGGCCACACACACACACACACACACACACATAAATAAATAAAATTTAAAAAAAAATCTTGAAATCAAAAAAAAAATTTAAAAAATTAAGAACACCCTTCGAGGACTCTGCCAGGCAGGCTTCACCCTGGTCATCCGAGCCTGTTAGCTTTGTATGGTATACACGCCTGTCATCCCAGTCCTCAGGAGGCTGAGACAGGCAATCACTGAGTTCAAAGCCAATCTGATCTACATGGTGAGACCCTGTCTCAAAACAACAAAAATAAATAAAGTAAAATAAAATAAAGTGGGGAGACACAGTAGACAAGCTGGGACCATCTCTGGCTGGTGCATTAACCGTGGACTCTTACCCTGTTCTCGCCAAGGCCAGTTCTAGCCAGAGGTCCATCAGGACCTGGCCCACAGTTGCCCAGAGGCTGGGGGGTGCACAGGGTCCCCACCTGGGGTCATGGTCTCTGCCAGTGCTCAAGCACAGAGCTTTACACGGGACACGTGAGGTGTCTTGGCAGAGCTTTTGCCAACAGTTCTGCTCAGCACTTGTATAAAGCGCCCCCTGCACTGGACTATCACGTCACAGAAGCCGGGCTTGCAGGCAGGCAGGGGCAAGGCATGCTGGGTATGTCCTGGGCACCGGGCGTGTAATGAGAGCTTCAGGCAGGTCATATTTGTGTGATAAATAACTTGTCCTTGCCATGCTCTCACTGAAGGGGCCTGGGATTAAAGCTGCACTTTTCTTTTTCTTCTTTGTACGTGTTTTTGGTCCTGGGGATTGAACCCAGGGCCTTCACGCTGAGCTATACTCAGCGTGTGTTCTCTCTCTCTCTCTCTCTCTCTCTCTCTCTCTCTCTCTCTCTCTCTCCCCCTCCCTCCCTCCCTCTTGGTTGAGTGTCACTAACATGCATAGGTGAGGCTCTGACTTGCAATTCCGCTTCAGCCTCCCAGGGTGCCATTTTTACCTTGGCCAACAGAAAATAATAAAGAACACCCCCTGACATCTCCCATGCTGTGGTTTCTTTTCTTCCCTTTCCTCCTCAGAAGCAATGCTCTGAAAAGACTGACCACCCCTACTGCCCTCCACCCACAGCAGGCCACTCCCCATGACCATCACTCCATGGAAATGGCTTATCTAGGGTCGCCAACGGCGTCCGCCCTGCACAGGCCCCAGGCTCACTTTCCTCTCTGGCTGTCATTCTCTGCCACCTTGACAGTTTCTCTTGCGCACTCAGACTCTGCCCAGGCCTTCTGCTTTGCTCCATGCAGCCTCTAGAATCTCAGCTCCATGTTGGTGGCCAAATGTCAACTGATCCCTCCCCTGAATCCTAGGTGTTCTTTTTTTCAGACTGGCCTTGAGCTCACTTTGTAGCACAGACTGGTCTCAAATTTGCAACAGAGATGCTCCTGCCTCAGCCTCCCGCCTGCTCTGGGTATGTACCACCACGCCCTTTTTTTGGCACAGGAATAGAACTCAGGCCCTTGTGCTTGCCAGTCAGGCACTGTGCCCCTGAGCTATATCCCTAGCCCTAGAGTCCAAAACTCCTAACAAGATTAGTGCAGAACCTTACCACCCTTCTACAGCCTGTTTCCGACGTCCCCAGCACCTGGCATGTGTGTGGCCACCTTGCAAACACCTTTCCCTTCCTTTCTGCTTCCCAGAGGGGACCAATCTGAATTTCAGCTGGGACTTTTCCACCTCTTCCCTTGTGTCACCTTGCCAACAGTGGAAGTTCTCAGAGACCTGTCTGAAGAATGGGGATTCAAATGGCCTTCCCTGGGCCAGTGAGACAGCTCACAGGACTAAGCGCCTACTCAGGCAAGCTCAGGGACCAGGGCTCAATCCCTGGCACAAAATGCCACCCCCCTTGCCACCTGCATGCACACTGAGCCAGCCACAGAGACCCAGCGTGGTGGCGCACACCTGTAATCCCAGCGCTGGGGAGGCTGACACAGGAGGATCACTATGAGTCCAAGCTGCACAGTAAGACCCTGCACCAAATAACATAAATAAAATAATAACAATAATAAAATTGGGGGCTGGGGAGATGGCTCAGTGGAATAAGCGCTTCCCTGGGAAGCGCAAGGGTCTGAGTTCAATCCCCGGTTCCACAAAAAAAATAATAATAATAATAATAATAATAATAATAAAATAGCCTTCCCTAGGCCTGGTGTGGTAGTGCTCACCTGTCACTCCAGCCACTGGGAGCCTGATGCACTACACCATGAGTTCAAGGCCAGCCTGAACTGCATAGAAGACCTTGTTTCAAATTCACTAACACAATCACCAATGCACGCCTGCAACCCCGACACTCAGGAGACTGAGGCAAGAGCTCGGTGCCAGCCTCAAGTACATAGTGAGTTCAAGGCCAGCCTCAACTACGCACCTCGTCAAAAATCAAACAAAAAACACTAAAACAAGACAAAGGCCCCTCACTCAAGGAGTTCTTTTTTGTTAATGTATTTGGTACAGGATCTCACTATGAAGCTCAGCCTCCTAGTGAGCCTGTTTTCAGCCTCCCCAGTGCTGTCACTATAGGTGTGTGCCACCACAGCCAGACTCTGTCACCAGCTCAGTGTGCTGAAGGGCAGGGCTGGCGCACGGCACTGCGGGGATGAACCCTGGTCTCAGGGAGCTCTTGAGTGCCACTAGATGTCACTTAATCTCAGGCTCTTGGGGGACAGGGATTTAGCTCACAGGCACAGCACCAGCCTGGCAAGTGCAAGGCTGTGAGTTCAATTCTCAGTACCAAAAGAGAAAAAAAAAAACCCAAACCCTCTCAGACTCCACCCCAAAAGCTTGTCTGCTCTCCCGGAAGCAAAGCCCACTGGGCTTGCAATGCACACTACTGCCATCATGAACGGGTGCCACTGAGTGCCACCAGCAAGGCTCCGATGTCTCCTGGAGTCCTCATTCCAGAATGTGGCACTCCTGATCCACAAAGCCCCCTCCCCAGTAGCTTCTATCGCCTCCACACTGTTCAGTGCTGGCCCAGGTACCCGAGTGCCTGCTGCGTACAGGTTGGTCTACTCTTGAGACAGCAGCAAGGTGCAGCATCCCACAGTGGGCGCCCCTGACGCTGTGGGTGCGGCTCACCTCGGCACACGGGCACGCACTTGCCCAGGCTGAAGAAGCGCGAGTGCAGCTCCTTGGTGAAGCAGATGTCCGCCGCTGCGGGGGTCCTGGGGCAAGGACAAGCCCAGTCACCACCACCCAGGCAGGGGTCCAGGACGAGGGCCCATGGGCTGCGCCCTGTCTGGACTGTGGCTGCCACTTCCACAGGGGCAGGGGGGTAAGTGTAGGCAGGGCCTGCTCACCAGCGCATAAGTTTCAGGTTCCAGATGTGGCGCAGCTTCAGGATCCCTAGATAGGGAGCGAAGAGGCTCATGTCCCACTTGCCTTCCTCCAGGACGTGTCCTTAGTCACCTCATCTCAGCGGCATCTCCTAGAGTTTCAGCCTGGACCCCCAAGGTTCGCGCTCCATATCTTATTCACCACGGAGCGTGATCTACCTACCGGCCTGGTACGCCCTGACAACTACTCTGGCCATTATCCAGTCTCAGCCCTGCCCTGTGCACAGTTCCTTCATCCTTTAAATTTCTGAGGCCCTGAGACGATGGCCACGGGGCCACAAATGGAACTTTTCCCCAGAGGCAGGGCATCTCTGGCCCAGGAGTGCCAGGGCTGTGCACGGAGCCCTGTGAGCAGTCCATTCCGCTGGCGGTGCTTGGCCGTCCTGTACCACCCGGCTCCCTTGTCCACCTCCCTGGGCCCAGCACCTGGCCTAGTACCCCAGAGGTGAGGATCGTCCATGCAGGACTGGTGATTGGAGAGGGTGATGAGGGGTGTGGTGGGGCTTCGGTTCTCGATGAGATCGTACAGCACCTCCTTATTATGGACGATGAGCTGGTTCATGTACTCTGAGGGGAGGAGGGGGTCTTGGTCTCAGCTTCCTCCCAACTCCCACGAGCCTCCTCCCACCTCCCATCTGCTGGATGGGAACACGGGCAGACTCTGTCTTAGCCGTGGGCCACTCACTAGTCCAGAAGCAGCTGTAGGTGCCCACCAGCCCCATGACGACGCTGCTGGCCAGGGTCCAGGTGAGCGGCGGCACGGCAGGGAACGGCCAGCGCACATAGAGGGGCATGGCCTCCGGCGCTGCCCGCCGCCTGGCACTGCGCCGCCCTGCGCAGCCTGCGGGTCTGGCCGGCCTGGGTCCCTGTCCTCAGTCGCTGGAAGGGTCGAGGAAGCCTCCAGTACAAACGGGAGCCCCGGATCGGCGCAGCGAGGGCCCAGGCCAAGGTCACTTCGCAGATCGGGCCAATGTAATGCCACAGGATCTGCCGCCGGGACCAGAAGCCAGGGTCGCAGCGACAAGCGGGACGCACCCGCCGAGCAGGGAGCAGCTGCGGGACACTGCCGGAAAGAGAACCAAGAAGGCGCCTGGATGCCGCCACCTGTCGTGAAACGCCAGGCGCTTGACGGCAGTAGGGGCGAGACCTTCCGGCCCTCCTGGCTCCTGCGCGACCCTACCGGGTCCCGGCTCGCGAACGGACGCCGTCCTGCGGCGCCCTTAGCAGCTAGGTCCTTAACTGAAGTCTGTAAGGACAGAGGCTGCGCAGCGCAGGAGTACTGAGGCTACCGAAGGTCTAGGTTGTGTGAGCTCTTTCATTTTTTTCTCTTTATTTTTACTGAGGTAAAATTCGCGTGACAGAATTAGCTATTTTATATATTGCACTCTTATGACCATCAATGACGTATACAATGCACATACATGTTGCACGATATAGTATTTATGTAATTACCAATATACAGTTTTACAACTAGGTGCGGTGGCGCACGTCCCAGAGTTCCTACATCCCACTGTGACCTACATAGTAAGACCCTGTCTCAAAAATAAAATCAATGGGGCTGGAGAGATGGCTCAGTAGAATAAGCGCTTGCCCCCTGGCAAGCACAAGGGCCTGAGTTCAATCCCCGATACCGCAAAAATAAATAAATAAAATTAAAATAAAATCAACAACAAAAAAATACACTCTTACAGAATTGCACTATTACATGACTGTACCATATGGATGTATATATGCATGTAAACTAGAATGTAATGACAGGACACGTAATACGTACTACATAGTAACGTAAGCAATAAAATGTTATATATATTACATGCATATGATATGGTGTTAGTACATTAATGACGCTGTCAAGCAGTACTTTTCCTTCCAAAACATACTCCATACCCCAGCAATGTTGTGCACATATGTAACCCCAGTGAGGCTGAGGCAGGAGGATTGATTTCAAATGTGAACACAACCTGAGCAATTTCTTTTCTTAGAGTAGGGTTTTTTTCTTTGTTTGTTTGTTTGTTTTTGCGGAACCGGGGATTGAACTCAGGTCCTTGCGCTTGCCAGGGAAACGCTTATTCCACTAAGCCATCTTGCTGGCTGGATGCAATTTCTTTTTTTACAACCTGAGAAATTTAAGAAAAACCCTGTCTGGGAGTGACCTGCTATGTATGGTTAGGTTTCTAAATTTCTCTGTAAAAATATGTAAATGCTTATTCCTTTTTTAAATCATTTTTTTCTTCATATTCTGTAGGGACTTAAAGTTCAACATATCAATACTTGATGGAAAATACCTGTTCCATGTTATGCCTAGGATGTTTGATATTCAGACAGGGGAAACCACACTGCACATGTTGCAGGGTAATAATAAGCTTCTCCTCTGGAGGGTTAACAACCTAAGTTAGCAGATCAAAGTTGGAGAAAAGGAAGGGCTGCAAGGTCCGCCAACATTTTGGCCCTAGCCTTTCAAGGTCAGTGAAGACTCAGGACATAGAAGAACCTGTACTGGAACATCATGTAACTCAGTTGTGTCCCAAATTTTCTGGTCAAGGAGATTATGGGGCCAAAGAGGAAAGTGATTGATGATGTAGAGTGTGCCTAAGGAGAGTCACATAGGGAGAAAACATTCTCTCAGGCTTTCACAGAGAGCAAATTGGCCAAGCATTGGCCGTGACTCATCCACATGGCTGCACTGACAAAGGATCTACAAAGGGCGGTACAGGGCTACAGGATAAATCCTGACAGTACTTGGATGACCTTATCAGATACAAAAGTTACATTTCTTGCTGTATAGGTCTTGCTTTGTCTTGGTCTTAACCATCCAGCAGAAAAGTATAAAAACGAGGTATATAAAGTAAAGCCATATTAATATGCTGAGCTGCAAAAGGCTCAAGTCAGCAACTTCTGAGGATAACCCACTACTATCGTGGACTGCTGGACTGTGTTGGATTGTTTTGCTGAATTTGCACACCTACAGCATTTAGATGCTAATGGAATACCCATCTCTGACAGGACTAAACCAAAAAAGGGGATACAAAGGAAGGACCATTTTGTATCTGTATATGCAGAATAGTTAGGATAGATATAGAGCTACTTTCACTTAATTCAATGAGAAGAAAGATTTGTACTAATAGTGTTTGGACAGGATATCCTGTCTGCTTCTTGTACTATGGATAACTACTAGAAGATAACAATGTACAATGTATTAATTATTGAAACTGTCCTATTAATCAGCTTTGAAACTGTCTCATTCATATTTGTTCCTCAATAAAATAAAATTTTAAAAAAAGAAAAGAAAAATCGTGTCTCACAATTTAGAAAATGTCTGTGGATGTGGCTCTGAGCAAAAGCCTCGAGTTAAATCCTCGTTAACAAAGGCAAAGGTGAGGGCCTGCCAGTTAGCTCAGCTCTTTAAGTGGCTGCTTCAACAAAGCAGTCAGGCTCAGGTTGCTGTGGTTCGATCCCCACCACTCCAGCCAGCCAAAGCAGCCCTGAAGGCATTCGGAGCAAAAGGCAAAGGCGAAGGTAGTTAAAAACCAATGCTATCAATGCGTGCATATTTAATTTTCAAAGCATTTTTTTTATTTTTTTGAGACAGGGTCTTGCTGTGGAGTTTAGGCTGCCTTCATCTCACTGTGTGGCCCAGGCTGGCCTCGAACTTACAGCGATATTCCTGCCTCAGCTTCCTGAGTCCTGACTCACCACGCCTGTTTCCCCAGCACCAAAGTGAACGAAAGCAAAACCTTGCCAACTTCTGCTTGGCGGGCACACTCTTGGGCACAGCGGGCTTTCCTTCGGCGCCATCTCCTCTCCCCCGGCCTTGGCCCACGTCCCAGATCCTTGGGGGAGCTCTGCGGGGCGGAGGCGGCCGAGGCCATCACCCTCCCGAGGGTCTCGGGCTCTGTAGTCTGGCTCTGGCCAGCGCGGGATCCCACAGCCGGGAGGCAGGTCCTAGGCGGGGGCGGTGGGCGGGCAGCTCAGAGGTTCCCAGGCCCGGGCCGCCCTCCCCTTGGGCGGGACCGGGGCGGGGCGGGGCGGCCTGCAGGGTGACGAGGGCTGGTGTCCTGCCAGGCCCTGCTGGGTGGGTGAGGAGCCCAACTTTCTTGTTCTTCTGGCTCGAGCCTCCCGCCCAGGCGGGCGCAGCGATCCTGTGGGGTGTCGAGATCTGTTTAAGGATAAGGCAGGCGTGGCGGCGGACGGGTGTGACAGGTATGAGAACCCTGAGCGCGGAGGGAAGGAGGAAGCGTGCTGGGAGGCGACGGAGCCCTGGCCTGGGCCGAGGCCGCCTCGGGAGGACCTGACTGAGCCGGAGCCAGGAACCGTCTCTCTGCCCGTGGCCTCGTGGGAGCTCCTGGCCCCACAGCCTCCAGCCCCGCCGGTAGCAGCACAGGGCTGTCCCGATGCCCACATGTGCCCCAGAATAGGCACAAGGGCCCAGATTAGCATGAGTGACAAAGCAAGTGCGGGGGGGGGGGGGGGGATGCAGGCACGCTGTGTGACAGGGACAAGGACGATGGGGACTAGAGAGGGACAGACCGGCAAAAGCGACAGAGAGTAGAAGTGGAGAGGTGGCTGAGAAGGCAGAGGCTTGTGCTCCCTGAGACCAGGGCAGCAGGCCTGAAATCCCCGCACTCTGGGAGGCTGAGGCAGGAGATCACAAACTCAAACCCAACCTGTATCGAGAGTCTGACTTAAAATATAAATGTTTTAGGACTGGGGAGATAGCTCAGTGGCATAAGCCCCTCCCTGCCTGGCAAGCACTGTGTCCTGAGTTCAATCCCTAGTGCCCAAAAAGAAATTAATTCATTAAAAAAGCATAAAATGTAAATATTTTAAAGGGCTGAGGATGTGGTATGAAGACTGAGTTCAATTTTTTTTTTCTGGTGGAACCAGGGATTGGACTCCGGCCCTTGTGCTTGCCAGGGAAGCATTTATTCCACCGAGCCATCTCCCTGGCCCATGAACACTGCATTCAATCCTCAGTATCAAAAAAAAAAAAAAAAAGCAGAGCAAGGTCAAAGTGAGACTAAGACAGACAAACTGAAACACATATTCAGAAAAAGAAAGGCTCAAGGCAATGAGGTGAGCAAAAGGGGCTCTGGTCAAGGGAAGACACACACTGCCTGCAAGCACAGGGGCAAGCCTGCCTGACCAGTCACTGTGCCAGGAGAGAGGAGAGAGAGGGCAGTCACCATGCCAGGAGAGAGAGGGGCCTCCCTGCTAGTAGAGGAGCAAAGCTTGCGGTTCCCAAGATGGGACTGCGTGTGGGGAG